TGTACTCCACATGTCCAGGCAAAAAGATTAGTTTCACTGGTGGAACAGGTGAAAACTATTACGTCAGAGAATATCTTTATGTTTCATGGAGCTGGCTGTAGTCATTTCATTTAGTAACTATACTTAGGGTTGTACAGTGTTTTACAGTGATGGGCTAGTTACCATTAAGTTCTAAAGATACAGGTTTTAGCACAGCCCCGGGACCCACAACTTATCGAAACAAGAACAAAAGTACAGTAACTGTCAAACAACACAACATACATGGTATCTTAAGTAAAAAAACAAAACAAAGCATTTTCTCCCTCAATGTTAATTAGTGTTAGATATTGAAGTGTGAGTTAATTAACATAGTTGCTGCTTGTCGTTGACATACTGATATTGACATATTCTTGGCATCATAATTTGTAAATAGGGTTAGGTATTTATAGGTGATCTCACTTCAGCCTTCAGTCATAGTTTTATGTTACATCTTTGTATCACTCTATTCATAAAATAAATAAACTAAATACATAAACTACTACTACTACTACTACTACTACTACTACTACTACTACTACTACTACTACTACTACTACTAATGTAAACAAAAAGAATACCAACATACTATTTACACAAAATAAAAGTTATTTTTGAATAGGACATAATTAAAAAAGAAATAAGAGACAGCACCCTGAGTAATGGTCGTTTATTGCTTTCATTGACCTGCATTTACGAATCTAGCATGTTTAATATGGAAGTAGCACACCTCCGTAGCAGCAGAAGGTGGTCTATGCTCTGGGGATCTTGGTCAGCTCATAATGCTGGGGTCTTCTCTGTGGTCCTCTTCTATCATGTCTGTGTTCAGCAGTTAGCATTTAATTTTGTAATACTGAATTTCACTTTGAGAGGAAAACACTGTTTTAGTCCTGTCTTCTTGACCCTTTGACCTTTGACCCACATAATTCTATGTAATCTTTCATAAACATCCATATAGAGGAAAGCAACTAAAGAAGAACTAAAATACCAAACAGGAGGGATTATTTATGACATATTTTCACATATTACTGTGAAAGAAGACATTTTTGGTCATTTTAAACCTGTATTTGTTTAATTAGAAGTTACAGAGTAAATTACAAATCCCTGTTGTTTCAGTCCAAAGCTACATCACTGCTGTCTCTTCACCTTGCATTACCTGCTCTGATTGGCCAGACCTCAAAGAATTTACATATTGCTGTTTAAAACACCTTAGTTTATCTTTAAACTATAATAAACCAAGTTTTGTATAAATCTAGACTGCTACTGAAATTTTTTAAGAAGTAATTTTGAGTAGCACAAATTTGACCCACATAGTTCATGTGAGTATAATTTTAGCCATGTAACTACACTTTTACTTGAGTAAATTTTTTTAGTACTCTTTCCACTACTTTTATTGGTTATTGTAATTGGATTAGAAGTGCATACACATCCAAGTAAATGACTGTACACTTTAAGGAAGGAACATGAATTTAACATTAACATGAGCGTAAAATAAATGGATGCAGTGGGTAGATGGAGGCGAATTCTTAAAATGCCCCAAAAGGAAACACTATTTACACATATATTTTTTAAAAATATGAAACTTCTGAAAGTAAATCATTGTACTTAACATTAATAGCTACAAAGAAAATACAATAATTGCTGAAAAAGCACAATTGTTGTTAGGGCTGTAGAAACGTGTTTTCCATAGAGCTTGTGGTAATTTGTTTAATTTAGTCAACTTTATTTTGGTTGCTTTTTACTTGTTACATAAATCTCCTTGATTAATAAGTTTGTAGTAAACGTATTTTGTACATGAACTCTTGTTGTAGTTACACTCATCTATGATGCTGTATCATAACTTGTCCTGCTTGTACTATGCTGTATTATTAACACAACAGATACATTTTAGTCATAAGTTAGTTACTGCTAGTTAATTGGTTTATATTATATTATTACTTGATATGTTTTATTACAGGATAATCCTGTGACATCTGAATGGTCAATCAACTTTATACAGCTGTGAGGAAACGCGGTGAAAAAAACGAAAGTATGAACTTAAACATTGTCGCCCTCTAGTGGCCTTTTAATAGAATTAGAAAGGTATCAGAGTCTCCGCGGGAATTCCAACACATTGCCTTATTATTAATGGGTTTCATCTTCCTGTGAAATTCTGAGGACGTTTGCCCATTCAGAAGATAAAATATTGTGGTTTGGCTTGAGAATGATATTGAAAATATTCCATAATTCTGAAACCCATGGATAAAAATCCTTTGAGCTATGAGCATGAGCTATTGTTATTATTTTATTTTAAGCTCCATATTATTCAAAGCATGTTGAGGAGAAGAGTCACATCCACTGTCGGTAATTGTATCATCCATTTACTAAATATTAGTTGCCCAAGGAAGGCAGTTGATTTAGTTCATTACTTTTGAGAAGTATGTTCATTTCATCAGACATGCTGTTTGAAATACTGAAATTCATGATATACCCCAGTCGTGTTGGGTTGTGAGAAATGAAATGATGTGAAACAGGAGGTTTTTAATATAAAACAAATCCTGTTTTTCTCTGAAAATGACTTGTTGCGTGCAGAGACTCTGAATAGCAAGTTTGTTTAACTCTGATTGTATTTTTATCATGAGAGACTGCAGCTGCACCTTGGCAAACTGTCACTAACGTGCAGTCTCATGGAGTACTACTGTCTGACTCAGTGGAGCTGTGTCCTCACATTTGACTCCTCATATTAAGTTTTGTTTCTTATTTTGATTTAAGCCTTTTGCTTGGGTGAATTAGTCTGATGGTGGCACTAGAGATGGGCTTCATGTGTAGGCCTGTCACGAGAACACCTTTTGAAGCACAATATATTGCTACAGGGAAATATAACAAAAAATGATATATTGAAACTACTTTATAGCTTTGACAAAAAACAATCAATAAAGGAGGATAATTCCAGTAAACAATTTTAAATAGACAGTATAACTTAAAGGTGCACCATGTAACTTTTTTATTTGGGCTGCTTGTTTCTATGGATATTTCATTACTCTGCCTGGAATGTTCCACAGTATGACATTAAACGGCTCTACCTTACATTTATTCAATTACAGGTGGTTTTATAGCGCAAAAATACCTAGAAAAACAAGCAGGGTTGCCTCTCCGCAGATCTGACATGCAGCTTGGTCTGTTTTGAACTCCATAAAGGAGTTAGAAAGGTTTAATACCATACTGTGAAACATTCCAGATGAAGCAATAACATTTCCATGGAGAAAAGCATTTGACAGACCCTCCAACATAAACGCATGAACTGCAGCAATAAATAGCAGAATGAACCAACGATTAGCCATGAAAGTGTATTACAAACAAAAATCTCCTCATGATTGCAAAGAAGATGTACACACGATAAATACTGAGCCCCAAAATATATTGTTCCAGTTTACCTGTATTGAACGATAAGTCAATATAGTAATTATCGTGACAGGCCTTCTCACGTGCAGTGTTTTTGCAGGTGTGTTGAGGTGAGCTGGTAGTGTACTCCCCTTAGCACCATGGTGAGGTCTCATAAGTCTCCAGGGAGGAAGAGCTGTCCCTCTGTCCTCCGCAGACAGGTACAAAACCATGTCATGTGGTCCCTCATTACTACAATGTGAACTTGTACTTTGAGTTGTTGTTTGTACTCATCCTGCATGTATTGTATTCAGTATTTGTATTTCTGTACTTTGTGATGTATTTTGGTGAGATTTACACAGTGAATAAACATAATGCTTGCTTGTTGTTTTAAGTTGAAGTACTGCACCAGGAATGCCCCAGAGTTAAAGATTTGTTCTAGTGCTGCGCTTGCGAGTAAACACATTCTACCCTTTATTGTTTACATTTTTTTCAGTATTAGTGTTTGTTTTTACTGTGTTTGTGATTCCTTTTTCAGTGGCCTCCAAATGGTGGATAAGGTCCGCTGTTGTGTGTCACATTGTCAATAAAAAAGTAAAGTCTCAACACGTAACTGACCAATTTCCATACCACAATCAAAATAAAATACATGACTTTTCAGACAATTTAATGTAAATAAACACAATCAGATTAAGACCATATAAAGTTATTCAGTAGTAATACTGTTTCAAATCTGGGTATCAATTATAATGGCAACCCTAGTGACAGCTTCCTTATGGGCCACTCAACTGTAGGGCAGTGGAGTCATCTGTGCCCCCTCCAGGGCAGCAGGGGCACTACGTAAGAGAAAAAGAAATAGATAAATGAGATAAATGCTGTCACTGAGAACAGTCCAGAAGTGAGCTCTGTACACACAACAGACACTAAATCATGTCCCTGTCCGAGTTTGGCTGAGACCCTCTTCTCCCGCTGCTGCAGGCGACTGTGTTACAAGGTTAATTTGGCCCTTTAGAAGCTCCACACAGTGACACATCTCAAACCACAGGACTTTTTAAGTCAAAAACGTGCAATGCTCTGAAATAGGAAGAACGATGTGAAAAACAAAGAGTATGCTCTAGTTTTCAATGCTGGTTTCATTTTCACATTTGAACTTAATTTTAATCACATGTGTCTGTGACCTCATAACCGTAGCATCACTAGAGGTCACTAACCCAAGAGGTCAATATAATATTATATCCAATTTTCCACAAATGCCATTTTTGTAATCTCACTAATTAAACAGCACTAAGATGTTTCAAACACAACATTTTGACCATTTGACAAACACACCCACATACTTCCCGTCACTTTCTGTCAGCAATATTTGGATTTAAAATACAACAAAATTATCAACCTCAATACATTTCTCGAAGGGACAAATTAAACAGGTAAGATACAGAAATAAATAAACTCTTAAAGTTCTTAGCACCAAACAAACACACTCTTGCTTCCTAATCCACTATTGGAGCGACCACTGATCTGTTGTAACTGCTTTAATGATTTCATTTTGATTTAATGTTCTAACTTTGTTCTGTTTTTGATCCAACAGAGTGACAGTGATCTGATGGACATGGAGACAGATGTGACAGAGCCCCCCCACACTCCTCTGTCACAGCCCACAGAGAGACCCCTGCCCCTGGACCAACCCCAGCCTCCGAGCCCCCCTCCCCCTCCATCTCTCTCCTCCTCCTCCTCCTCCTCCTCCTCCTCCTCCCTCCTCCTCCTTTGGGCCTGGATCGGACTCATATGAACAACTGGACAGCCTGGATGATGGGAGCTCTCTATCCAACACCAAGTGGAGACCCATTCCCCCCCTGCTGCCTGAACAAGAAATCGAGAGTGGACCAGACTGTGGGACGAGGGACCAGTGCTGCCAGACTGACGAGCAGTTTCACTACGCAGGTAACAATGCACTACCTGCACCTGCTATGAGAGTTTGTTTTTTAGTTGTTCTTCAAACACTTGCAGTTGTGTATAGTTTCATTCACAACATCAGGCTAAGGCCATCTATCTCTTAAGAACTGAAAACGCATATTTGCATCACCCTTCCTCTTCAGGGTTAGGGCACCTTCATCATTTTGCCTTAATTACAATGCATCGTTCTTTTTGGCGTGCTTTAAAATAATAAATAAATTAAGTAAATGAAAAATACAGACCACAGTATTTTAAAAAGAGATATATTATTAAACGATTTGTATTAATTTTAACAGTTGGCATGTACGCCATGACATCAACTTGTCCAGGGATTGAAGGTGGAAATTAGCAATTTTGCAATTAAAAATTAGCAATGTTACCTCTTTATGTAGGTCAATGCTTTTTTTAATTTGCATTGTCCCTCAACTAAATTAAACTAAATTATTTAATACATATAATCTGGTCTAGTTTGTTTTTTAAGACTTTTGGAATGTCACTGAATTTTGTTTGAAAAGTTGAGTTCAGTTCAATTTATAATAAAAGGTAAAGGGAAAATTCATAATTGAAATCATTGCTTATTTTTTTAGTTTCCCATCACTGTCCCAGGTGAAAAGTTTGAGATATTTATCTTTATGTTTGCTCTCTCTTATTCCAACATTATTTACGCCCATTTCTTCAGTTTATAGAACTAACTTTAAATTGTAAATATGGAAATTGTTAAAAATCCCAAAAGTTGTGCTAACTGGATTTAAAGGAGTCAGTCAATTGGCGTCTGTGATTGGTTGCTCTTTGACCTGCCAGCAGGGGGAGCAGGGGGTGGAGGCCTGACTGTTGGGATTATATCACTGTTCTCCTCCCCATTTGATGGGGGATGGGATTAGGTAAAGACATAATCTCTCCATCTCCCTGTCAATACGTCTAACACGGCTGCCATTCACAGTTTCAGGCCTCTGTTCATTTGTCTGTTATACTATATATTCCCCTCTCTCTTAAAAAATAAAAAGTCAGATGTTGCAAACCCAAACTTGATTTAAATCAGAATGTATTGACAGAAATGAATATCTCATTTTAATATATATTTTAAAATTATCCCGCTGACAATATTCAGGCAATATTACACCAATATCTTAGAAAATGTGCTCAGTAGTTCCTTTAAATGTCTGCTGAGATTCAAGTAAAGCACAAAAAGAGAATGGACTTTAAAATTATCCACATAAGTATCATTATTGTCTCAGTCAAAAGGAAAAAAGATAAAAAAAAAAAAACAGTCTTTAAAACTGAAACATAACATAATCAAGTTGCATATACAATTATGTATCAGACTGTGGAAATGAATGATGCCCAGTCTCATCAGATCTGGGAAGATGAGCAAGGCTGTTCTTGGTTAGTACTTGGATGTGGACCACTGGGAATCCCAGGCTCCACAGAGGGGCAGCAGTGGCTTAATTTAACTTAAGTTTTGAACACAGTTTGACCTAAGGAGTAAGGACTTAATGCTTCTAGTGCACCTACTAACACCATTACTATAAATAATACAAGACTGCTTCAAGCATATCTTCTGATAACCATCACAGAGCTGCCACTCATATTTTACACTATATGTAGTCATGTGGCTACTACAAATACACTAAACTACAATGTTTTTATAGGCAATAGATATTTAACAGAAGGACACAATGAAGTGGACTAATCTTTATTTCTGTTGTTCTGTAGGTCACTGTGTGGAGCCTGGAGACCCTCCTCTGCTGCAGCAGCCTCTGCACACTTCCAAATCAGGAATCCAACAAATCATTGAATGTTTCCGATCAGGTGAGTAATTAAGTAAGTAAGTAAGTAAGTTTTGAGAACTTGTCTTCTTTTATTTTTTAACTTGTATCCAAGTTTCTTGTTGTTAATCAATACATATTATTAATATTTAACATAAACAGATTTGGTCAAATCAGTCTCACTTGAATGAAGTGACAAAAGCCACTGACTCAAGAAAATATAAACTGACCCCTGACTACAATCTACACTATGAATCTGTAGGCTTTTCTTGTTTGATCACTATTTGTAGCCAAAAATACCTTGAGTGGGTTTTGTACTTTCCGTTGTGCTCTGGAACTTTAACTTCCTGGATCTTGTGGTCCACGTGCTTATACTTCACTATGACGTCTTCAAACTTTCTATAAAAGGAGGTTTTTGAAAAACTGCAGGATATCTGTGTTCTGTGCTATTCTGTGCTAGTCAAAAAAATCTGAGCACATTATAGAAATTACATTACACAACATCATGAATGGTATCAACATCACAGTGGCCTGATGATAAAATGTTCTGTGATGTTTCTATAGAAATTTTTTTTTTCAAAGATTTGACACAATAAACATAGACATTACAGTCAACGGTCCAACACTCAAAGGTAATTGCATCTACTTATAAAATTCTCTCTTTTGATTACATAATTTCCAATTCTTTATCCCGGTTTTGGAAAACATATTGACTGATTTTAAAGTTGTATGTTTTGGGTAATAAGACAAATTGCACATTTACTTGAAATATGTGGTTTGTCAATGTGTTAATAATCAGTTGTTTTTCTCCAGGCACGAGCCAGCTGAAGAACATGCTGCTTAAGGAGGTGGACACCATCTTTGAATGTAAAATGTGCCGTAGTCTGTTCAGAGGCCTGCCCAACCTCATCACTCACAAAGAGTACTACTGCTTATCACGCCTGCCTGATCCCGATGGTCAGTACACATAGACACAACCGCACACTCTACACCTGTATGCTCTGAAATACACTTCACTCTCACTGGAGCTTTATATTGTTTATTGCTAATGAACCCTATCTGCAGAACTGAGGGATTACGCTGACATCTTTCTATTGTTTACTTAAAAAAGTTTTAGGCCAGGGGTGTCCAAACTTTTTTCATTAAGGGCCACATTTCTAAACACATTCGAAGCAGAGGGCCGATCGAGGGCCATAGACGGGAGCTCAATACAGTGAATAATTGAAATATTTGCATGTTTAACACTTTAGAATGAGCCATCAGTCTTTATTCATGCTAAAATCCTCAAAACCACACGCCAAATCTTCAATATTGATTTTACCAAAGTAGATTTTCAGAAAACTTGCAGTAAAAAGTAAATTTTTAAATGATGTAAGGTAATTTGGGCCAAGTCACCTGGAAGCCTGAGGGCCAAGAAAAATTTGTCCGGAGGCCGCATTTGGCCCACGGGCCATAGTTTGGACGTGCCTGTTTTAGGCGTACTCTGCTTTGCTTCAGGGACATACAGTTGTGTTGGTGTGTGTTTTCTACCAGAAGCAGCAGGGGGATTTACTGAGAACTGTATCCCTTCATGAAGTCTAATTTAGGCCCCATACTTTTACAAAAATCGTATGTATACAATTTTAAAGGTCAAATGTTACTTAATGAGGTTCCCTGACTCTAATGTAGTATTATCACTTTGTATTATATATGGATATTTATTATTGTCACAGCTAAGTTGTAATTAAACATGTCTTATGCGAGCCACCGAAACGTTACATAGTGCACATTTAAATAAATTTTACATTTTTACGAATAGTTCTACTATCATTGGAAGATCTTAATAATTTTCTGTGTCTCATTAAAGGGCCCATATTACATTATTATTTGATTTATGTTATAAGGTTGTTTCCTCATCAAAAACAAAACCAGAGTTTTGTTTTTTTCACGTTTATCATACAAACCAAATTCAAAACCAAAATTAGTCTGTGTTCTTCTCTCAAATGGAAAACACTCTGTTCGACCTTTTTAAACCACATACACCTTCACTAGAATAATTTGTATACTTTCAGCTCTGGAATTACCAATCTCTCCTGAACTAAAGGTAAAAGGTAGTGTTAACTTGAAATCTATCCCTAGAGGACATCACAATGTGGAACAGAGCATTTTGAGCTTTTGGAGATGTAGACAGACTAATAATGAAGGATTTCTCAAACATGTGTGACTGAAACAAAACACAGCTCCTAGTATATTTTTGACAAGGTAGCAGCATTATAACATTGCCAAACAGTTGCAGGAGTCAATTTTGCATAATATATAACCTTTAAACACTCTTCCTCTCTTTGCATGTTGACAGTGCAAATTCAGTATTGTCTTTAGCATTTTCATATGCGACTCTACTGTGACTCTACTGTGTTAAAAACATAGAGGCAAATTTTACACTATTCAGCTCTAAAAGTCACTGAAAAGGTCAATGAGGTTTTGCTTGAGTCGAGTCCACTATAATGATTGCGGCTTAGTTTCAATGAGTCTTTCACACTGACAAGAAGACCTAATTATGTTGTTTGTGTTCAAGCAACTTAATGTTTCTTACTTAACTAACTGTTACACATATTTCAATATTTACAGCAGATAAATTACATAATTGGCCTTGTTCCATCTGAGGCATTTATTGTAAATAATTATTGTTTTCTCTTCGCTTGACTTAATTGGCATATTATCTTCAGTGCTTAATAAGAGCGAATAAAGCTTAAAGGGTAATTTCTGTGGCATTGATCTGTGTTTTTCAGTGCTACTTCAAAAAATATTATATTTTGTCAAATGAAGATGAGTTAAAGAACAGTTGGTGCAGGAGCAGGGCCACAGCTCAACTACACGCATGTCACACCTGTCACACCTGCCACACCTGTCACATCATAACCACTCCTCATTGCTCCTAAACGGCACTTCACATTTTCACAGTGACCCACTTTAAACCAGGGAGTTCATCTAAGACTGCTGGTCATTTTAACTTTAAGAACAAAGAAAAGGTTGGTTTCCTATTCTGCTGAATGAACTACAGAGACCCTCACTGTGAGTCTCATCTTGTCCAGCCATCTTCAGATGATAGTCTTTTTGATAGTCACTAATAACTTTAGGTGCTGTACGTGCTCTGCTCCTGCTATTCTGCTCTTGCCACTCCATTCTCTGCGCCCTCCTTCCCTTTAGCTCACTAACTAATAAATGATTTATTTACCCTTTTTTGTGTGAAAATCTAGTGAACTATAAACAACTACCTGAAGCTCTTATTGAACTACACTGCATTTATTTCATATCTCACCATCACCAAGTTGTGAGTTGTTAATAGTTGCTAATATGCTCTTAATTACTTAAAAAGAAATAAGGTGCATGGTCATCAACATATTGGAATGACTGATTATAATTTATAATTTGATATGTATTCTCGTTGCAGGTGGAGATGGAGACAAACAGACCATAGCCATGAAGGACCTGATGGATGCCATCTACCCACGAGCTGACCGCCCAGACTTTGTGGTTCGACTGGAGCCCATTCAGACCACCACCAAGGCAGTGTTTCAGTACCTTTCCACAGAAGAAGAGATGGCCCGCTATCCCTCCACCACCCCCAGGTAAAAACTAAGACCTTAAAAATAACCATTGACTGTATACTGTCGTGTGTGAGTAACTCTAACTTAAATAAAAACTTGAGGTAATGTTTAATTCTGGTTCTTTTGGGGTGTGCAAAAGTATCGAATTATTGATATCGCGATACTAAATTTGATGATACATGATTTTCATGAGGTGCTGTATCAAGATATATATATATATATATTTTTTTTTTGTTTTTTTGTTTTTTTTTTTATAAAGTTTTGCTTATTTAGCAGATGGCAACTTGTTTATGCAATACACTTGGCATATTCACTGTTTTGATAATGAAAACAGAAATAGTATCATCATAATACAGTATCATGAGCCATGTCTCAAGTTCTGATTGGGTGTTGTGTTGTAATATATTTGGCCCTTGTTTATAGTACAGTTGCTAGGTTATGAATGCTAACAGTTATGAAGTTTCCTCCGAGCAAAATCTTATCATTATAATTATAAGATTTCATTTTACTGAAAACTGTAGTCTATCTTGCCAAATGCAAGGAAAATTAAATAGGACCTGTGTTAGATGATTTTTTGTCTATACAAAATTTGTAAACTCTGATAATAAATTCATACAAATGCTTGTTTAAAAAAGTATTCTGTTGGTTGTTTTATACAGTGCCAGAGAGAGTCCAGTGGCGTGGGAGGGACAGTCCACGGAGAATGTGGAAAATAACCAGCCGAGTCAGCCTGTGGAGACAGAGAGTCAGAGGAGCCCCAGTCCTGCGCCTGTGGAAGAGGAGGAGCCCCCCGAGGAGCCCCCTGCACCCCCCCAGGCTGAAGACGAAGACTCCAACAGTGGGGTAATGACACTAAATATGAGCCACAAAATATAGAGTGACCGAAGCAGGGCTGCCAATCTACAACATTGTCTCTCTGACCACTTCCACCTGTCACTCATACACACATTCACACTAGGCAATGTGATTGAAGTGTCTTGCCTAAGGACACAACAGCACTTTTACTAGAACCACTGCTACCATACTGTTGCAACTGGTATTCCCAGCAGTCTCTCATCCAAATACTAACCAAGCCCAGCCTTGCATAGCTTGATGAGTTTTGATAAGATTGGCATTGACGAGCCAGTATGGCCACACTCTAACAGTCCAAAACCTGTTTAGTATTTAGATGACAGCTCGCATCAAGATAAAAAGCAAGTAATAAATTGCAATTATCTACACGTCAACAACTTGACAAAACAATAGCCATAGCCATAGTCTGTTTACTTAAGCGTGTTGACATTGCAACTTCTGTACAAAAAAATCCTTACGCAAACGTCTGTTTTGTGTCTGTAGGTGGAGGACGTGACCATCTCCTGCTGTCTGTGTGGTCAGGACTTTAACTCTCGCCGCAGCATCAGGCGTCACTGTCGTAAAATGCACCAGACCAAATTGGAGGAGCTCCGAAAGTTCACCGAAACACGCACTGTTCCTACGAGTCTCCTCTCCATGGTCAAAGGTACTTACAGCTGCACATACACAGTCTATGTGGCATCTGTTTTGTAAAGATGTTGAAGGGTCGATATAAAGCTGAACTGACTGAGTGCATCCTCAGCAATCCTGCATATTTCTGTCCAGAGCTCTAATTGCTTTCTCCCTTATACATATGTTAACATGTAATCCATGAATCTCTTCCTTCTTTTTTAAAGTTCATGCACATGCAGCAGTGTATCTATTTTGAGGCTATCTCCATTGTTTTCAGCTTCATACAGCTACCTCACTTTCAACACGTCAGCGGGTGCATTCTCTGTGCCTCTGCAACTGTTTTGTATAGACAAATGTCATGGCAAATATAGCTTTGAGGTATTTCCAAGACACATACGCTTTTAATACGCTAGTAATTAAAAAAAAGTATAAAGTATCCAGAGTAGATTAAAAGACAGCAATAAGTAAGGATTACTCTTAAGTATCAATTGATATTTTGTAGTGACATCATGCTGGGGGAGTTCAGTATTTCCCAATCTTTTTTTCTAGGGACCCATATTTTAAAAGTCACAAATCTTCGCAACCCAAGTCAATAGACATTATTTGTAAATCACAAAATAAATGTGTGACCATTTTTGCACTTTAATGACGATATTTTATTGTTGATTGTGGCTCTCCGAACAGTTAGTATTACTGTATTTTTTTAACAATAAGGTGTACCGGATTATACAGCGCAATATCAGTAATGTTGAATTCTCTTGTCTATTCTCATACATAAGGTGCATTAAGCGAAACAAACGGACGACACTCGAGACTTGAAACTTTTTTATTTCCTTTGAGAAGGACTCAAATATAGATTAAAAAAACAAAAAAACAAAAACATCTTGCTCCTTGTGTCCTGATGTGTCAGCTTCTGTCAAACTAAAGAACCCAACTCACTGGAATATATGTGAAAATTGGTTTGATGTCACTAAGCACAACCAGATTTCATACATAAGGCGCATTGGATTATAAGGCACTCTGTCAATTTTTCAGAAAATTCAAGGATTTCTAAGTGCACCTCGGTACTCAAGTTTTAAACAAGGAAAAACAGTAATCAGTGTTGGTTAGGCAAGGTGGTGCTGCCAAAAAAGTGAGGAGCGGGGGGGTGCGTGGAGATGTATGTATATGTATACTGTAGACCCACATGCAGATCGTGACAAGGTGACGCAGAAAAAATCTCTTGCGGCCCACCTGAGGGTCGCAATCCAGTCTTTGGGAAACAATGCTCTATATTATCAGTATCTGATGAAATGTTCAGCAGTTACCATGGTGACGCGGTGCACGCATTAGCAAACACTGCCAAAAAAGTTTTTAGATCTGAAAACTCAAAATAGAAAAATAGAAAAATACCAAATAGATTTAAACAACACATTTTCGTGAGCCTGTGATCAATACGGGGATTCATGGTTCTGTGTTGGATTTTCAACTAAATGCTAGCTAGCTTGTGAGTGTAGTGTTATTTGAGATGAACTAGTTTAACTGTACAAATCGTCTCACCTGTTGTAATTCCAGCTAAATTAATTCTTTATGGTCAGATTGAGTTAAAACAAAACTCAAATTAAACTCTAACAAGCTTCTGACAGAGCAGTGTCTACGGTTCACAGCATGACAGACCAGCTGCAAAGTATCAGTAATGCCTGAATAATGTATATATAATACATTTACTGTACCTTGTTTGTCTAAGGTCGACAACGGACTGCCTGCACACCCACTGGGAAGTCGTGTCCGGTTTGTCTGAAATCATTTGCGACTAAAGCCAACGTGAGGAGACATTTTGATGAGGTGCACCGCGGACTGCGCAGAGACAACATGACTCCCAACATGGCCACCAAACCCGAGCAGCCGTTTGTTCTGGACGACTCAGCCCCTCGCCGCAGTAACACATCGTCTCCTGCCAAAACCGTGAGCTCCAAACCTCCTGCTCAGAGCCAGCTCAAACCACAGAGCAGCAGCAACAACAGCAGCAGCAACAGCAACACCAACCTCATGTCCTGCCGATGCTCCCTGTGCAAGAGGACCTACAGCTCACAGGTCAGTCTCACAAGACCCAAGGGCTCAAAATAAACTCCATGTGGCCTGGTTTGTGGCTAATAATTGGTGGTGTTCAGATTCTAGAGTGGGATAATGTCAGACTCACAGATGGCTGGGGGCAAGAGACAGTTTTTTTTCCCATTTGTGTTTTTGTATGAAATATGCAAAAGGTGCAAAGGATGTTGGACCTGATCAGTCATAGCAGTGACTGGATATTCATCTTACCTGCCCCACATCTGTGTTAAATATAATTGACCTTTAGACTGTTGTGATGTTGTCGTTTTTATTTTTATTTCTGAATATTTCCTTGACTAATATTTGCACTTACCTTCTGCCTTCAATCTTATTTTGTTACATTGATATATACTATCAAATGAGTATACTTTATCTGTTATGTATCTACTATGTTATGCTATACCTTTCCTTATAAACTGTACCAGGCTAATTGTTTTGGTAGAAATGGGTCTTGTAACTAAAGCTAGCTTGAGCAAGAACAGAAATGTCACAGACTTACCTATAATCTAATATTACTTCCTTTGTTGTTGTTTTTCAGCTCATGTTAAAGAGGCACATGCGAATTGTCCACAAGATTTACAGCTCGAAGAACAGAAACAATGTTTCTGCAGTACCTGTCACTCACGCGACTCTCCCAACTCACATCTCCAACCTCAGTCTGGAGCCTTCTAATATCAAGTTGAAAGAGGAGAGAATTGAGCACTCTGAAGAGGAGGAGGAAGAGGAAGAGAAGAGGGAGCAGGAAGAGGAGGAGGAGGAGGAAGAGGAGGAGGAAGAAGAAGTGGACATTGACAGCAGTCCTGCCCCATCCCCGAGCGGCAGCACAGAGACACCCAAAACCGCTGAAAAAAATACCACTAAGGTGAAGGAGGATGAGAGCCCTCCAAACCAGAAGAGTACACCATCGTCCATTTCCCCCTTGCCCAAAAACAAGGCACTGTCTGTTGGTTTTGACTTCAAACAACTTTTCTGCAAACTCTGCAAGAGACAGTTCAGCTCGCGGCAGAACCTGTCCAAGCACATTGAGCTGCACACAGACGGTACAGAGATCTTCATTAAGTTTTACCGCTGTCCTCTCTGCAGCTATGAGTCTCGCCGCAAAAGGGACGTGCTCCGGCATGTCACCGTGGTGCACAAGAAATCATCTTCGTACATCGCCAAGATCATGCCCAAACTGGAGAGCCGCGCAGTCAAGAGGCAGGCCGAGGCGGTGCTTACCAGTAATAACACTCCCAACAAGAGGACCACCATCAAAGAGGAGGTGAACGGGCGCCATTGTACATCCCCCTCTCCTCTGTCCCCTCCCTCCGCCCCTCACTCCACTCCTCGCAAACAGCAGGAGCCCTCAACGGGGAGTAAATACCAGCCACGGCCCGTCAGCCCCCCCATGACCAGACACTCACACCAGCGCTCCTCCTCCTCCTTCTCCGCCTCCCCCAGCACCCAAACCTCACCCTCGCGCCGTCAGGACACACAGTACGAGCGCAACCCCCCGGGGTCTACTGAGGTACGGGTCACCAAGAATTTCTCCCTCCACGCCTGCGACCAGTGTGGGCGAGCTTTTGCCAAGAAGGTATGGCGCTCTCATTCTGGCTTTATTCAAAAATTAATATGGTGAAATGATACCAACATTATTGCTGAATTTCTTCATTCTTTTCCAAAATATATGACCCCCAATGCAAAAAAAAATAAAATTAAATAAAAACATGAGAAGGGATCACATTCAAAACACCACAAACCCAGTGCATTCACATTATTTCTATATTCATACATCTAAATTAACACTAGAAGCAAGAATGGTAACTGTTTTGCCCAAGTGCACAAGATCAGCATCCAGGTCTGTGTGGGGATACAACTGTCAACTCTGCTTAAGTAAATAAATTAAATAACAATAATTCTTTAGTAACTTCCTCTCCAATAATCCATGGGTATTACTTTGTTTGTAGATGAATCTAACCATAAAAATAAGATTCATTTATGTTGTTTCAGTCAGTAAGATGTATTTTTTATTCCTCATGTGCTTGAGTTCTGATTTTTCTCTGCTTATTTTCAGTTGTTCCTGGAGTCTCACAAACGAAGCCATCGAAATGCAGCTGCAGGAGAGGGCGGTCGGAGGAGAGGGGTCAGCACTCGCTCCAGGTCGCTGGTCTGGTGAAGCTCAGAGTGAGTGTGAATATTCTGTGTAGATAGAATAGAAACTGGTACATGTCTATTTCAGTTTGTACTCTCAAAAGCCATGTAAAAGTCTTCATCGTCCTCATTGCGAGTCTACTACTAGAGCTGTATTCAGATTGATTCATGCATATGTGATTGTTTCTGTATTGTTCCGCATCCGAGCATTGAGTGGTCCAAAAATTTTCTCCTCTCTCCGCCCACTCCTCTGTACTTATTATAAAAAATGTGAAGTCCAGGTCATGCACGTAGGTTTCAAAAACAACACACAGACATTTTTCAACAGTAACAAAAGTAAATACAGTTTCATTACTTGAATTGTAAAACAAACAAACAAAAAAAAATACTGTACAATCAATCATACTTTTTGTGTATTTGATGTAGGGGCGTAACGATCCAAGTCTCACGATACGATATTATCACGGTATGAACCTCTCAGTACAATATTTATTGCGATATCGTGGGAAAGCTCATGATATGGTGGGGAGGCTCACAGTTAGGGATGTAACAATATCCAAATTTCTCTGTACGATATTTTCACGATACACATCTCACGGTACGATATTTATTGCGATATTTTGTCAAGGCTAATATGCTACTTTTTTCTCGCCTTGACAAATCTTAATCCAAAGAACTAATTCTTAGAAGTGCTTAGAACTGTTATTTCTTCATGTAGTCTACACTGAAATGGAGCAAAGGATCATGGGCTATGTAGTTCCCTCTGTCTTTTTTTAGCTGTTGCTGCACCTTAACTCTTAATTTAAGCAAAGAGATTTGTAATTCGATATATTGTGATGGTCCACGATATTATTGTGAGAAATTTGACGATACGATATCACGCTATTTTGGTTATTGTTACATCCCTAATTTGATGTGTTTTCTAGTATGAATGTTCTGTAGTTTGCTATTATGCGTTTTCATCAAGTGGACAAAAAGGTTATCCTAAAAGTAGTAATTTAATCCGTGTTACAATTTATAAACCCAACACACACAATGGAATAATATATGTACTTCTTTGTAGTAGTGTTCATGTCTCTGTTGTCCTTATTATCACTTTTCTTTTATTCTGTCTTTGCCTGCAGACCCCAGGGGATCATCTATGAACACGTCCCCAACGGTGAGGGTGGATTGTGGGTTTGAAAGTAAATGCACAAATGGAGCACATGGGAGATCAGAAGATGAACAAAAGAAACAACAATGGAATATCACAAAGACATTCAAACCATTTGAACCCCAGGAACTAATACACTGGAGTGACATTTTTACAAATCCTCCTATGATGCTGCTGCCCAGGTGAAATGCACAATCTGTCCATAAGGAGGCGCTGCTATACAGGGAGAGAGTGGCCTGATGGTGGAGTTTCTGTATATATTATATCTGTATTCCTTCCTACACTTTGTAAATGTAGATCTATATACAAGCCACCATTAGTGAGTGGATGATGAGACTGAATGTGAAAAAATGTGAAGGAGGGTTTTTTGATATTGACTATTTCAGACCAGTGCAAATTATTTCATTAATATTTCATTTACTGTAGCACACTGAATTCTAACAAAATGGCTGCTCAGTTGGTACTTTTTCATTCCCCGCTTTACTCTGCTTTTGTCTCGGTCGTTTTTCTCGCTGGTGAAACAGCTATCAGTGTCTTACCTAAAAGAAGCCATACCAAAAATACCACTATGCTCCTGCCTTACCTATAGTCACTTACAGTACCTGCCTTACAGTAGCCAAACCCTTTCTCATTGAATGGTAACAGCATCAGACTATTGTCAATATAAGGGATTCACCAGTATTTGTTTGCTTTATTTATTCTCAACATTTTTTAAACAATGTTATATGTAAATTATTTCAAAAGAAGTTGGTTGTTTTCGTTTTGTAACTTAACATGAGGGTTGTTTTATTCCTTATATTGACAGTAGCACTAACTGGCTGGGATAGTTTGGTTGGACATGAGTTAAAAAGGCCATCAGTTGGAGATGATGTACAAGAAACGGGTTATGAACTGAAATAAGGCAAAGGCAACAACTTCTATAATAATTATAACATTTCATTCAGTGTCTTTTGAGTGTAACAGATAAGAAATCATTTCAGTATTGTTATATTATTACTTATTAGTATTTCTTCAGTAGGCAAATTACTCTGTCTGTGGAATCTACACAGTAACATGTAAACTGCACTTCACAAAGGTAATGGAATATTTGTGCACACATTTCAGGCTAAGTTATTTTGCTTATTTGGCTGTTTTCTTTAGAACTTCCGATAATTGAGGAAATCTGATCTATGTTCAATTTAACTTAAGTGAAACGAGGCATCTTTTGGTTACTTGAAAATGATTTTTAAAAAATAATCTCCTTTTACATGTAAAATTTCAGTAAATCTTTATTATTCACTGGACCAAAAATATATTAGAGAAAAAAAAAAAACACCACTGGATTTTTTGTTTGTTTTAAAATGTGGTCTTAATAGTCAGGTGACCACTGTTTACTTTATGTTTTCAGTACAGCAACAACAGCTACACAGATAACGTTTGCATAAAATGTGAATGGAGATGGTGCAGAGGAGAGTGACCAAATGTAGATACATGTCTTATGAAATGGAAAGCCATGAAATGGGACAAGAGCTGAAAAGACCAAACTTTATTTTTCTATTTCACGGTCTCAAACTTGTATATAATAGTTAATAAAATAGTCAGAATAGAGATAAGAGATATTGGCAGTATGTTTGAGTTGGTTGAGCACATGGAGACATTTCTGACTAGTTCTGTTAAGACTGAGATGATTTTGTGTTTCGTTCAGTTCACCATTTTGTATTTAGTGCTTTGTTATGACTATTGAAGGAGGCACTTTTTTTTTTTTAAGTAGGAACAGCCTGCCCATGTTATTGAGTTGTTTTGTAGCTTGTTGCTTTCCTCACCAGTTGTGATCTGTTATAAAGCTCACCTAACCCCGAAGAGCCTTTTCCGATGTGACACGAATGTTACCACCAACCACTTAATAAATAAACTGTACTTCTGCAGACATCAGACTTGTGGTTTTGTCCAGCTTTGAACTACTTTTCCCAAGCATCAATCATGTTTGTTTACTGTGATAACTCAGTAGAAATGGTTGAGTGGGCGTGTGAATTGTGTTTATTTCAGTAACTTTGTCATGGTCTAGTCATGGTTTACGGTTTAGATTTGAGTTTAAAAGGCTCATATTAGGCTATTTTCTTTTTTGTTTCATTCACACCTTAAACATACAAACCATGCGTTCTTTTCTCAACATGCTCAAAAATGCTCAACCAACCTTGTGATATCATGTGGTAATAGAGTAAGTGTTCACTGTGTTTTAAAACTCCATACACCTTTACTAGAATCATTTGGATAATTTCAGCCCTGGAATTAACTTAAGAACTACTGTTTCATGATGTCACAAGGTGGAACAGAGCATTTTCAGCTTTGGAGATGCAGACAGACTAATAATAAAGAATTACTCAAACGTGTGAATGGAACAAAACACAACTTCAGGTATGTTTTTGATGAGGTAACAACATTCTAGCATTGCCTAAAGCTCGAAAGAATGAAGTTTGGGACCTTTAATACCAAGATATGTTTGGGTAAGTTTGAACACACTTTTAGAAATTTACACAGATGACCTTACAACATTTAAGAATTTAAAGTAAAATCTGACTTAAATTAATTCCCTAGACACACTTCTAGCCTTAACCATACTTTCTACTTACCCAACTTGAACCTAAACGCTAACCATAACCCATTTTAACCCATTAATAAAGGTTTTATGTCACAGACAGAGATGGGACCAAGTCTTTGTTTTGCAAGTCAGTCAGTTGTTTGACCTCAAGTCCGAGTCAAGTCCGAAGTCAAATACAGGCAAGTCCAAGTCGAGTCTCGAGCCACTGGCCCATAAATCCAAATCAAGTCCAAGTCATCTGCTTTGAGCTGCAAGTCATTTCAAGTCTTTAAACCAAAGTACCAAATATAGCTTAGATTTTTGCAATTTATATGATTTTTAAGATAAATTGTACTTAAAAAATCATAGTATATCTATATATATGAGTATTTATAAACTACATAAGAGTTATAGAAATTAATTTTGTTAATTTTTCATTTTTAAACATCTTGGCAAGATCTTAGTGTGAATCATTACGGTCAGAACAGAAAGAATTCAGATTTAAAAGTGCTTCTCAAGTCTTCTCAAGTCACAGGGTTCAAGTCTGAGTTAAGTCCCAAGTCACTGGCCTTCAAATCCCAAGCCGAGCCCCAATTCTTAGCCCATTTTTTCAAGTCAGGTCTCAAGTCCTAAAAATAATGACTCAAATCTGACTCGAGTCCAAGTCACGACTTGCAAGTCTCCCTTCTGGTCACAGAATCCTCTTTTTGTCACCATAAGGGAGGCAATTCTTAAATTTGATGTGTCCCAGTGTGATTAAAAACCTATCTCCCTACATACAGTCCCTGACAAAAGTCTTGTCGCTTATTCATTTTGTAGAAACAAAAGCTTATAATCTGACTTTAAATTAATCGATTGGTTTTAGAAATGTCTCATATGAAAGCTAAAACCCTCCCAAATTATGCTCAATATACTAAAATAAATTTGCTTCACTGAAGAAAGATTGATCATTTAATGAACACAGAAAGGTCAGATTTTGGCAAGACAAAAGCCTTGTCGCCTTGTCATATGATGCACCCAATCCTAGATTACAGCCTCACCTGTGATCAGTTACTGATCAATCAGTTAGTGGGTGTGTATAAAAAGAACCCCAGCACACCAGACCTTCACATCAACTGCAACTTGACCTCTGACAACATGCCTAAGATCCACCCTGAGACCAAAGCGTTAATTATCAAGAGGCTGAAGACCAGATCCACTGCTGAGGTGGTGACACCTTCAATGTGTCTCAGCGTCAAGTACAAAGAATAAGAAAAAGATCTGAAATGACGAGATGTTTTTGACAAGCCCAGGTCCGGCAGACGCCGCAAGACAACTGCTCGGGAGGACCGTTTGTTGATTCAAAAATCAAAAAAGGCCAGCCCCTTTTCCACTGCAGCAGAGCTCCACCAGGCCTGGTCACCTCAAGTCCTCTGTGTCAACCAGAACAGTTTGTAGAATTCTGTCTCGAAATGGCCTCCATGGTCCAAAGGCAATTAAAAAACCATGTGGCATTTGCCAAGACCCACAGCCTGCTAAAAGGATGGACACTGGAAAAGTGGCAGAAGGTGGATTTCTCAGATGAATCCTCAGTTGAATTACATCACAGCCGCCGCAAATATTGCAGGAGACCTACTGGAGCCCGCAAGGTTCACCCAGAAAACAGTTAAGTTTGGTGGCGGAAAAATCATGGTCTGGGGTTCCATCCAGTATGGGGGTGTGCGAGACATTTGCAGGGTGGAAGGCAATATCAATAGCCTAAAATATCAAGAAGTATTAGCTCCCTCGTACATTCCCAACCATAAAAGGGGTAAAATTTTGCAGCAGGATGGTGCTCCATCGCATACTTCTATCTCTACATCAAAATTTCTCAAGGCAAAGAAGATCAAGGTGCTCCAGGACTGGCCAGCCCAGTCACCAGACATGAACATCATTGAACATGTCTGAGGTAGAATGAAAGAGGAAGCAGGAAGGCAAAACCAAAGAATCTTGATGAACTCTGGGAGGCATGTAAGACGCTTTCTTTGCTATTCCTGATGACTTCAACAAATTGTATGAATCATTGTTGAACCGCATGGATGCGTCCTTCAAGCTCATGGAAGTCATACAAGATATTAAATATGGATCTCACAGCACCACTACTTAATTCACTGACGTTATGCAACATATTTTTGTATTTGAAGTAAATTATTTGTTCATTTTTCTGTAGGCGACAAAACTTTTGTCTTGCCAAAATCTGACCTTTCTGTGTTCATTAAATGATCAATCTTTCTTCAGTGAAGCAAATTCATTTTAGTATATTGAGCATAATTTGGGAGGGTTTTAGCTTTCATATGAGACATTTCTAAAACCAATCGATTAATTTAAAGTCAGGTTATAAGCTTTTGTTTCTACAAAATGGATAAGCGACAAGACTTTTGTCAGGGACTGCATACACACTTCAACACTGAGAATAAACTAAGACCAAGACTGTAAATAAACCCGCACCAAAACCAGAACTAAATCAGAACTACAGCTGGACCACAACAAGTCTACATCAGGACTAAACCACTCAACAAAGGGATGAGCCACCCTTTTTGGCTGTTACACGTTTTTCATCACAAGAGGGCGCCATTGCTCCGCGCATCCCGCCGCGTCCTCTTCCTCCGCAGCCTCAAATTGGACATGTTGCGCATATCTTTCACACTGTCACCAGGGTCTTTTTCTATCGCTGCCTTCTCAGTCCACACAGCTTATCAAATTGTTATTACACAGCAGATGGGATGCGCTCCATTTATTTAATTTCACCCACTGCATAGCCACGGCCCTATGGTTTAAAAGGGGATCAATGGGTGCAGTAAAATGGATTCAACTTTGCACAATTAAGAGTGAACGCCTGTGTGAGCAAAATTTGATGACTTATTAATCTGTTCAAGCAACCAAAGCTTACCATTGTGGCATCTATTGATTCGATCGATTAGTCGTAAACTTGATTGAATATGTGGCCGGTGCCGGATGACAGTGGCGCAATTAGGAGATGATTTGGTGCCCGCAGAGAAGAAGACACATTGAGCGTAAAGCGTTAGAAACAGGTTTGCGCGCACACATCGGTGGCTCGTGCAGCACCTCGTCTTTATTATCGGAGGGTTTGAGCATCAGTGGAGCATAGGTGTTTCTCGTGCGTAAAGAGTAGGGGGGGATCTCCTGCTTGGACCGTGGCACAAAAAACATAAGGTGGGTTTTAGCAACATATTGATCACGACTGACACATTGCGCTTGTGACGAATTCCTCCGCTCTATCTCTCCTCACCTCGCTCTCTCCCTCTTCCCCTCTCTCCCTCACTGTTCATTCTTGGGCATCGACTTTCCACACAACCGCCCTATTCGTTTTTTGTCTCCACGGATCTGCTAGATTAAAATTTTCACCACAGAATCAGCCTTGACGTTTGTGCATTTTGTGTTTTTCGCGCGCTTTCACTGTGGAATTGTCACTTACATCTGTTTTGCTGTTGTGGAACGGGAAATCTCACTCCAGCACTATAAGGGCTGACTGCTATTTGGGAAGGAAAACTGCTGAGCTCCGCAAGGAAGTTGCCTGAGGCGGACAGGGGACCCTAAGGAATCCACGAGAAAGAGACACAGACAGGCGCTCCTTACCACCTCAACCACTCGCATGCAACTGGATTACTAAAATTTAAGGTATAAAATTATCATTCACAATTTTTCTGTTTCTTTTTTTCCCAAGTCTTTCTTTCATTTTAAGTGTTGTCCATTTCTTATTTATCTCTTCGGGCACATTCCTTCACTGATGATTTTGGGCATCCCTCCTTTTTCTTCTGCTTTTTGACGCCCGCCTTTCTCGTGGATTTAAGTGATTTCCTGAGTCGTAATTAATTCATGAATGCTTTTGTGCGATAGACAGTAGGCAGGAGGTGAGTAAATGTTTTATCACGCACGTTTCTTTGTACTAACTCTGCGTAAAGAGATTAAACATTGTGGCGATTTGGTTGTCGTTTTGGTGCGTAATGCTGTAACGCTGGTTTCTCTGCGCGCGGATGGCACTGTCTTAATTAGGGTGCGATCAGAACCGTACAGGAGCAAATGTGGCCGCATAATGAGCACACACCCCGCACTTTGATCTGGCGCTGTTATTTCTCCAACCTGCAGGCTGCATCTTATCTCCAGACGCACGACTCTTCCACGTCAAAATATGATACGTCTCTAAGCGAGGATTAAGCGATATATCGGCCTATCCTATGTGTTTGTGAATAGAAACATCAGCGTACATCTTGCATCTGAAAGCACAAAAAGGCAGTATTTGGATGTTGGTGAATATAAATGTACTCTAAAGACTTTAAGCACGGTTTTTTTTTAAGGTTTTAGAAAACTGT